CTCAAATAATCTTTTAAATTAAATCTCAAACTCATCTTTTTAGCTTCATCATAGAATATTGATCCATCCTTAGTTCTCCTTAAGAGTGCTTGGGGTCTCCCACCCTTTTTTCGGTTTGATACATAATGATGTATCTCAAACACTTCATTTATATCAACTAGATAAATCAAATTTCAATTGGCAATCAAAAAATCAAATAAATATTTAAGGATTTCGATGATTTACCTAGCGATAGGAAAATTGTGAAAAATTATTGAAATGTAGTTAAGACTTTTTGAAACCTACAATGACCACAATTAGGATAAGTTTTGACTTCCTTAATCCCGATGAAGACTAATTATTTAATCCTGTAGAGAGAAAAAATGATTGGCCATTGACAAATTGTTATCAAAGTGTGTGATAGAGAGGCTATTTGGTGGCTGCTATTGTTATGACGACCGCAATTGTAAGGGAAACGCTACTATAGTGGTGATGTCCGATGTTGATGACGTATTTTAGTGTCGTTGAGAACCGATACTATGTCACTATCAAATTATGGTAAGGAAATGGTATAATCCAACAATAAATGTTGACTTGGAAAAGCTTAATGCAATATTGCCAAAGACTAGAGAGAAAAAGGTCGGTAGCAGTTTTAGCAAAAATTGATGACAAGGTCGATGTGGTAGGGGCTTGTTGGTTAGTGGTAGTAGATAAGATTAGTTAGGTTTTGTAAGGGCTTATTTGATAAAGAGGTTGGTGGTTATTTTTTTTCATGACTTGGAAGGAAAATGGTGGTTGGCCTTATGATTATGATGGCTAAGAAGAGTGAGGGTAGTTGGGAGTGATGGTGATAATTCGGGGAGGTTAGGCTGGTGATTTTTCACGATTAGAAAAGGAGAAGAAGGCTAGGGTAATGGTTGAGAAGAGTAAGAGAGGCTAGACTGGATGATTTTGTTAGTTGAAAAGTGTGAGGGAGGTTGGGCTCGTTGTTTTGGTGGTTAAGAAGAGTGTGGGCGATTAGGAGCGATAGGCAACGGTTTGAGCGAGGCTAGGTTGGATGACGGATAAGGTGGATGAGGTTGGTTCATGGTTAGGCTTGTGCTACGGGAAGTAAGTAGCATGAAGGGGGACTAGGTTATGATGGTAATGAGTTAGGGTTGGTATGGTTGGGTTTGTTGTTTGGTGGTAGCGACTATTATTGTGATGGGGTGAATGGTGGCGAATCTAGTGTAGGAGAAAAGGAAGGGGAATTCAATTAGATTTTGTTGGCCTCTCTCTCTCTTGTTTTTTCTTTCTTTTCTCTCCTTTTTTTTATTGCTATGAAAAATGGTGGTATTTGTAATGTTTTTTAGGGTTTGATGGTCAAGATTTATTTTGGTCCCTTATAAAAGTGGCATATGTATAAAATAAGCTTATAAATTACTTATCTTGAGATTTTTTACTTGTTGATCGATGAATACGTACTTATCATCAACCTCTTTTCTATGAGTCTTCAAGAACGACTCATGAGCATCGAATTCATAATCTAACTCCTTAGCTTGAAACAAATATACTTAAATGCATACGGATGTTGCAATAATTACAAATAATAAATTATTTATAAAAATTATACATTGGACATCATACATATATTTGTTACAGCTAATTAAAATTCTAACAAAATTTCGACGAGCTTTCCTTATACACTCGGACTTTTCTCAATTAACAAATATTCAAAATCAATAAAATATATAAACCATGCAACACGATCCATCAATAGGTATCGAAATCAATGCAAATTGCATACACAAACCAAGATAACACTATTCTCGTCCTCTTATCTCCATCGCGAATATTGACACCGACCTTATAAATTCTCAATTATCTCTCCTACGACGTCATATCCCCGTGGTGTCGCCCTAATATCAATGGCCAAACACTTCAAATTTCTTCACATTTCAAGTATAACTACATAAATACTTCAATAAGAAACTTGATGAAAAATAATATAACAAATGATCTCATACAAGTATGAACTATAAATTGTTTTGCCATATAATTAAATTTTTTTAACACCAAAATAACATCATTAGCACCAAATTAATTAAGTTAACATCTAATTAAATATTTTAACACCTAATTAACTTATTTAACACCTATAAATTTATTTTACACATAAATAAATTACACTAACATCTAATCAAATTTTTTAACACCAAATTAATTTAATTAACTCCTAATTATATTAATTTAACACCTAACGAAATATTTTTACACCTAATTTGCTTGGTTAACACCCAATAAAATTATTTTACACCTAAATAAATTAACTTAACAACTAATTAAATTTTTTTAACAATTAATTAATTTAATTAACACCTAATTATATTAACTTAACACTAATGAAATATTTTAACACCTAATAAAATTATTTTAACATCTAAATAACATAATTAACACCTAATAAAATTATTTTTCACCTAAATAAATTACCTTAACACCTAATATAATTATTTAGCAACTAATAAATTGTCTCTAACAAGAAAATAAATTAAACTAACTAATAATTAACAAAAAAGATAATTAAGTGTGTATATATATATATAATAATAATAATAAAAAAAAAAACAAAGAACTCACCTTAGGAGAGTTAGGAGGCCCCCAAATGGAGGAGGAATGAAGGGAGGAGATGTTGCGAACAATGGACCCACGAGAGAAGAGGAGGGAAGGGAGGAGGAGAAGGAAAGTAGAGAAAGAAGAAGAAAATAGAGGAGGAAAGGAGAAGGGATGAGCGGAAGAAAAAGAAAAGAAGAGAGAATAGGAGTTTGGAGGAGCTCACAACATCTATAGAGGTTTTTGTGGGTGGTGGCGTCGACCAAGGAAAAGAAGAAAAATGGAGAAAAAAGTGACGAAAACCCATATGGGGATTTTGCGTTTAGCGACGGTTCGCATTCCGTCTTGAAATCATTGCTAAATGCCCTTGTTTTTTTTTTTTTTTTTTTAAAATTAGTTTTCATTTTAGGTTGAAATAAAGATGCTTTTTAACAACGGTTTGATGAACCATCATTAAAAAGGATCGTATTTAACGACGTTTTGGTCGGATCGTCACCGATTTGATCCAAATAAATGAGTTTTTAGCAATGGTTTATTATTTAGGTGGGATTTAGCAATGCTCCTAACGTATTTTAATAATCTTTTGTTTTATTGTAATGTAAGTCAGCACTATAACATGACTAACCTTGAATCGATTTTAGAATAGGATTTTTGGAACTCACCAAGCGTCTATATTCTTTTAGGTTAAAATTTTAACCAAATTCTATAGGTATGTGCAAAATTCAAATTTAGCATTAATTTAACGTAGTTGTGCAACTGAAGGAAAGCTTAACCTGGTAGAAAAAATTAGTAAAAGAAATAATAATACCAAAAAAAAGAACAGTAATTAGTAATATTCATTGTTGTTAAGTTCGTTCGCTCAAAGTGCAGTAATACAAATAATAAAACAAAACACGGGCGTGGTTAAGTTCGTTGTGCCCTTGTCATCTGTAAAATCACTGATTTGTAATATTCTTAACCAGGAAGGAAAAAAAGATCGCGATGATCCCAAAACATGTCACAGCTTTCAAGAAAGTTTTACTTTTCAATTTTCATCTTCGATGAGGCTTCTAACTACAGGAAACTAATGTTAGAAGAATAGAATACTAATGTTGCAATCATATGAGTTGGTAGGCTTTAAAGTCAATTATATAAAGTTAAAAAGTTGATTTCACAACGAGCACTAACAAGCTCAAAGGTGAAAAGCAGCCATAAACATGCACGTTTGCTTTTGCTAATTCTTAATTCGTAAGCACCAAAAAAAAAAAAAAAAAAAAAAAAAAGGTGAATGTGTAAGCTTTCCATCAGCAAAGAAGTTTGACCACTATAATATTTGGTTTTGCTTTGCTTTATTTCCTTTTCCAGTATTCCTTAGCAGGGGGCTTTTGTTTGATTGATTTGTTCTGTGCATATTTTTTAATCCTTTGTTTGGTTGGAAGACAACTAATGGAGAGCATACAAATTCTTTTACAGCTTCGGACAAAAAGAAGGATATGGTGGCACTCATAATACGAGAACTACTTGATCCCTGTTAATTAATTTGCATGCACATATATTCTTATATATGATTGGTTGATGCAATTTACAATAGTTTTATAATTAATTGAAAAGATCGAAAGAAAATTGATATCTTGTATGGTAGAAAAATATTGTAATTTAAAAATATATGAGCCAAATAGACATAAATAGTCCAAAGTAATATTGACTTACAATATTAAATATATGACCTAATTATAAACCACCATAATTTTTTATCCCCAAATACATTCACTCAAATCCAAAACTTAATTCGGAACTCTACAATCCCATTTGAAAAGCACTTAAATCGCATTTTTAATTAATTTTCCCTAAACATGAAATGGGGTTATTTCATATTTTTTAATTAACCCGTTCTAACCTACTGAAAAAATTAAAAATAAACTTCAATGCAAATTGAATGGTAAATGTTGGATTGGAATTTGGAACCACTTTAAGCATGCATATCGATCTCTGGAGCAGTAAATTAAAGAGAAACAAATAAAAAATAATAATAAAAAAAAAGTGAAGAAAGAAAAAGGGGAAAGGTTCAAAAAAATTAAAAAAACCGCCCTTGGCCATGAGGGGTTGAAAAGGAACTCTTTCGCCTCCCCCTCACTTCCTTCGTCCTTTTCTTAGACCAGGGCAAACTAACACCAAGCAAAGCAATAAAGCAAAGCAAACAAAACCCCTCCCTCCCTCCCTCCATAAACCCATCACGAAAAGCAAAAGCTAAAAAAGATCACAAACAAACCAAACCAACAAAAAGCAGTCAGTCCCCTTCAGAAAAAGTGTTCCTCTTTCTCATTAAGCAAAAAACAAAAGATGCAGCAGAAGATCCCACTTATATCCTCTGCAATGTTATTCATCATCTTCCCTCACTCCCACAACTCTTTCTCACATTTCCCATCAACCCTTTTCACCATTTCGTCTAAATGTCAGAAATTGTTGTTGCTGACCCTATCATTGAACCACAACGAGCAGACCATGCACTTACAATTGATCATTCTGCTGCTGCTAGTACTAGTGGTGCTGGTACTGGACCTGAGCCTTTTGATAGTGAGAGGTTGCCTCCCACTTTGGCTGGGGAAATTCAAAAGTTTCTTCGTGTTGCTAATTTGATTGAAAGCGAGGAGCCTCGTATTGCTTATCTTTGTAAGCCCATTTGGTTCTGTATACTCTCTCTCTCTCTATATTTTTTGGTGACTTGGGTTTTTGTTTTATGGAGTTTGATTTTGGGAATTCTGATTGGTTTTACCTGTTTCTTCTTTATGTTGTTGACTTTGGTTAATTTGATTGTTGTTTGAGAGGTTTCAGCTTTGGAGTTTGGATCACTAGTTGATGGGATTTTGAGTTTGATTTGTGGCTGACACAATGAATTATCAAGATCAAATTCATCAATTTTTTTAATGAACGACATGCTAATTATGGTTTTTAATATTCTTCAGAGCAAGTTTTCCATTCTTAACTGGAGTATATACAAGAAGAAGTTTTTAATTGCTATATATGCCTATTACAATTTAGATGGAGCCAACCCTTTTTTCAAAAGAAGAGAATTTAAGTTCGAATTTTTATCTCTTATATAATCTGGTTCCCAAAAGACTGCAAAACCAGGTTAAAGGAATTTTAAGATGATTGGGTTAGATATAAGGCACAACTGACAGTATCTTCTTGTTTCTGGTCCCCCCACCCACCCCTTTTTATTGCTAAAAACTAGCAATGGGTAAAACAATGCAAATGGAGTATTATTTCCGTACCAAACTAAGTTGATTGCAACTTCAATGTGAAGGGAATGAATTAGCAGAAAAATCTTACCGCTTGATGTTTGTATAGTTGCTCATTCTTAAGCAACAATCTGATTTTATTTTTACTTTGGTGTTGGTGGTACTCAATTTGTTTTTTAAAGTAAAAATCAGCTCTGTTGCAAAATTATACCCCCAGCTTTTTTGTGTTAATTAGTGGGTTTCTTGGGCAGGCCGCTTTCATGCTTTTGAAGTAGCACATAGCATGGATCGCAATTCAAATCAACGGGGTGTTCGCCAATTTAAAACTTCTCTCCTTCAGCGACTTGAACAAGTAAGAACTCGATGGAGGGTCATAATATAAGCATATCAAAGTTCGTCTGTTCTGCAAGCACTAAGGATGCATTGAGTTTAAATCATTGATAGATTGAAGAAATGATGAGCATGAGTGTGCTATTTATGAAACCTCTTGTGCACATTGCCTTCCTTGGTTTCCCTGTATCTGCTGCTTAGTAATTGCACCAGCTGATTTCTGTGCTTCAATAGACGTTCACCTCCTGTTTGATTTACTTCTTTCTGAGATACTTTCCTAAGACTAGAATTTTTTCTGCATACTGTCCAGTGTCAAAATATATTGATTAATGGCTTGATTTTTGTTTGGAAGTGCCGTCCACTTATACCTGCTTAGTTGAACTACATATGCATCATGCTCAGTATTGCAATTTTCCTTTTGATATGGTTGATTTTATTTGACGTTGCCTTTTACAGAACAAATCCTTACAGTTTGTAGCATTATGCTTGGAAAGTGAGAAACCAACCATTTGATTTTCTGAATTTGTGTTTCTGAGCCTTTTTTCCTGCCTATGATTTAAATGTTCTGTTCCTTTCTAGGCTTGGCATACACCTATCAAAGGCAGGTGGAAAATGGACAGCTAATGCCAGTTACCTATTAATCTCTCATTTGATTTGATATTTGGATTTGTTACTAAGCTCCTGTGATCCAAAAAAATTGTTCACTGCTGTAGATTTACTACAGTGTTTGAGACCTCTTAGTCTGGATATATATTGACGTCAGTTAAATTTCATTAATTGATTTTGTCTTCTTAAATATCCCATTCAAAAGTGAATGTGATTCTCATAGACATTGATAGTTTGGTTAAGCCCCTGTTTTGCATTTTCACAACCGTTTCTGCATCCTCTTGTTATCCTTGCAGTAAAAAGTCTGCAGTTCACATATGCAATTTAAATTCTTAGTTTTTTATTTCCATTTTGAAATTTATTGTCTTTTTTGGCTTGGACAATGTATAGGACGAAGTTCCTACCTTAATGAGACGCAAGGACAAGAGTGATAAACGAGAGCTCAAACGTGTTTATAATGCATACAAGGAGTATATTATGAAAAGTGGTGGAGCATTTGATTCAGATGACAGGTAAATGACATAATCATCTGGACATTTTCTAATGTTTCTATTCCAGCTGAAACTTCACTAGATACTCTTCTTCAACTAATTTAATTTGTTTAATTTTTATCCGATTTAGTCACAGAGAGAAATTGATAAATGCACAAAGAATTGCTTCTGTGTTGTTTGAAGTATTAAAAAGAGTAACAAATGCTGCTGGTCCCCAGGTGCTTTTCTAATTGGTTTCTAATTTCTAAATAATCGGACACAATGACTAATTGTGAGTCCATGATTACTGCATTTGCTTCTTACTTCTACTGGTCTTTCTTTCTTTCTAGGCCCTTGCTGACAGGGATAGTATTCGTGCAAAATCTGACCCCTATGTACCATATAACATTCTTCCTCTAGATCAAGGAGATATTCAGCATGCAATTATGCAATTCCCTGAGGTCTGATGCTTTACGGATATATAAGTGATTTCCTTTTTAATATTCTTAAGAATGGGTTGGCCCCATAATTTTTAAGACTTTTGAGTTTTCCTATTAGCTGCTAAAACTACAAATTAATGTATTTTGACAAGATGATAGCCTACTTGCTATGTTACCTTTATCTTCCCACTCCCCCACTAACGGCTTTGTCTTGTGTGTGGGGACAACTCCATCAATTTATACTATGAATCATGCCTGAGGTTTGATAAAATGGAATAAGTATGTTGACAAACTGATAAATAATACAGATTAAAGCTGCAGTGGCAGCTGTTTGTAACATTCGAGGCTTACCTTCAGTCCAGGATTTGCAGAAATGTGGGCCTTTCATGGATTTGTTTCAATTTCTTCAGTTTTTCTTTGGGTTTCAGGTAATCTCTCTTAACAATTCCTATTTGATTTTCTCTTTTCGTATGTTCTTTGAAGTGTGCTATTGTTTCCCACATAAAGTTGGATTTGGAAAATTGGACATCTGTGACATAATGATCTTTTTGCTTACGATGAGATGAAAGGTGTTGCGTTTTGTATGTTGTGTCTTTGATCAGGATGGAAATGTTGTCAACCAGAGAGAGCATCTAATTCTACTTCTTGCTAACACCCATATCAGGCAATCTCACAAGCAGATTTCTATTAACAAGGTCTTTAAGCTATTTGGTCCTTGAAATTTTGGTTAAATCTCCCTTATCTTTTGAATTGAAATGTATATCATTCTCTTGATATCAGTTAGGAGATGCAACTGTGGATGAACTGATGAAAAAGTTTTTTAAAAATTACACTAATTGGTGCAAATATTTGGGGAGAAAAACCAGCATCCGGTAAGTGACCTATTTTGCTCTTTGCTTAGAGCCTGAGATGTTAGCAATTAGTCTTCCAATTTTATATTGAAACAGAATATGTTTCCTTTCGTTTCATTTTGCCAAATTTTTTTGACAGCTTTTTGCTGCTAATTCTCCACATCTATGCATTTAGTTTCTTTGTCCATTACTTCTATTCAGAAGATTGCCAGTGATATGTCTGTTACATTCATTATCTTCAGGTTCTTGCAATGGATTTGATGCTTGTTTTTGCAGGTTGCCATATGTGAAACAGGAAGCTCAACAATACAAAATTTTATATATAGGACTTTACCTTCTTATTTGGGGGAGGCAGCAAACTTGCGGTTTATGCCAGAGTGTTTATGTTATATTTTTCACCATGTAAGCTTAAAATGTGTTTCTGTTGATCATTTCTGTTACAATTGATTCCAAGTTTGTGCCCATATTGTATGGTGGAATACTTGTTTCTTTCATATCAAATCCCATTTGATAGGGCCTAGGTGCATGATGGGGTCTCATTCTTGAACTTCAAAAGAATAATAAACTGCAGTAGCCAAAGACAGAAACCTCTTCACCCAACATTTCAAAACCACATTTTCAAGTGACTATATTACACTTGACTGTTTGGAATAGATCTATTTCAAGTCTCTGCTCTGCAAGGAAATGGCATTGATAAAAGGTCGTTCTAATGTGTTAACAAAACAAGATGTGATATTTCTGAGAAGGCATTGGAAAACAAATTGCATATGAATATTGTTTGACTTCCTGTTGTTAACATCAAGCACAAATAACTTGTGTATAAAGTAAATGGTGTACAATTGTTCAAATAGCTTTTTATGATTTAAATCATGCACTCTGTGGAAATCCATATCAGGAAGTAGTATTGGTTTCTTTTTTTATGTGAATAAAGTATGTTCATAGGGCTATCCAAACATTCCACATTTTTTTATACCAGCTTTCTTATGATTTATGAGATGTAGAATTGTAAACCCAACTGAAAAATTGAACTCATGAATTAGTATTGGTTTCTGTTTGATGCGAGCAAATGGATGCTCATTGGACTATAGATCATTATGCATCTAACATGTGTCCAATTTACACATTCCTTTTTCCTAACTCATCCAGCAAGGATAAAAGGTAATTTTTCATTTATTCATAAGACAGGAATTGGAGATGATTCCCCTGCACCTCATCCAGTGTCTGCTCTTTAATGGCCTTTCTAAAGCTTTACTACCTGAGGTCAACTTTTTTCTAGCAAAAATTGTGCTTTTATTCTGAAATTAAGTGCTAGGCCTTGGTTTTGGAAATTTTTTGGTGGTTTCTGCAAGTTTTTATATATGATTCCTCATCTCTCCTTCTATGTAAATGCAATTCTGCAAGACTGGAGCCCATACCATGTTAATTGGTGAAATGAACAGAGAGATGTTGGAATCGTTATGCTGATTAAAGCCCTAAAATTTGCGCCAGGAGCAGCATCTGAACTTTTACTTTGTTTTTATAATGTTAAGATAATTTGGAAAAATACTCAGTTTATATTAAATGGCTATTGAATCATGACTTTCTGCTCATTTGTCGATGTCCTTGAAAAACTTGGTGCTCTTTTATAATATCTAATGCCCCCTGAAGATTTTGATAATTGAACAATTGTGGATTTTTTCTTGTTTGCTTTCAGATGGCATATGAATTGCATGGCCTGTTAAATAGGGAGAATGTCATACCAGCATATGGAGGAGGGTTTGAGTTTTTCCTTAGAAATGTAGTTAGCCCGATATACAGGGTTATATCTGAGGTAGTTCCTATTTTCTTAATATCTCGATAAATCTTTCTACGTAAAAACTAATTTTCTTGTGCAAAAACTGAAGGAAGCTCTGAAAAGCAAAAATGGGACAGCTGATCATTCTACATGGAGAAACTATGATGATTTGAATGAGTATTTCTGGTTAGAATTGAATTCTCGTTGTTTAAGTCAGCTTAAAAAATGTTAAGATCTTGAGGATATATTGTTATGGCTACAATATTTTTGCAGGTCTCGTGACTGTTTTCAAATAGGCTGGCCCATGCATCTGGATCATGATTTCTTCTGTGTCAAGCCTTTAAATAAATCCAAACGCAAGAATATGGTAGAAGAAAAGAGAAAGAGAGAAGAAAACAAGGATGAAGAATTGGGATTAAACGAAGATGAAGAACTAGGGGTAAACTTTATCACTCTCGGTCTTATAAGCAATTTCTCTTTTCAGGTTGCCATTGATTTGTAAACTGAATAGGTTTCAAATAATAATTTTAAGTTCTTCTATTTGCCTAATGTAGATTTTTAAAACACGGCATTTCTGTTATTTCTAGTTTGTGAAGGGACAATAGTGCATCCTATTCTAGCTGTTAGCATTCATAGACTACCATGTCTTTAGTTCTCATTTCTATAGCATAAATTGATGATTTTATGTTGTGAAAAGGGAAAACCGAAAAGAAAAGCCCATTTTGATTTGAACTTAGATAGATATTAAGGTTCCACATGTGAAGTCATTAATCAGAGGATTCAGTGAGGTGAATCTTGCATTTACATGGGTGATGAGGATGCTTCTCCAAAACTTTATCTGTCGAATGTTTTACATTGGGTGTTTACTTCTTGGATTGAAGTGCTTTGCTTTCAAGAAACATATGTAGTTTTTTCACGGATAAGCTTTAATGCTACTCATGCTACATCAGCTGTGAGGATAAGGAGAGAAGGGAACCTTGTGTTTTGCTATACTTTGGCATTTTCATGAGCATCATTATAGCCAAAGAAGAATAATTTAATTTCTCTTCGATATTTTTTGGTTTCTGAGCTCAATGAATCTCCAAAATTGTATTGGCAAGTTGGGTTGTCTTCTGGCATTCGATATTCCATTTTTTAACTTGCTTTGTTTTCTGTCAGGCTACCTTTGAAGAAATACATGAACCAAAATGGCTGGGGAAGACAAATTTTGTAGAGATTCGTTCATTTTGGCAGATTTTTAGGAGCTTTGATAGATTGTGGAGCTTTTTTATTCTATCCCTTCAGGTTCTCAAATACAGCATACAACTGATTGCTTGATTAGCTCCATCCTATAATGAATTGGCCACGTTTAGTAGTAATTTTTTTGCATTTCAGGCAATGATAATTATGGCTTGCCATGATTTGGGGTCTCCACTTCAAATGCTTGACGCAGTAATATTTGAGGACATCATGAGCATCTTCATTACATCTGCAATTCTTAAACTCATACAAGGTAAGGTACTATTATGTTCTAAAAACTAATTGGTAATGCATACTGTTGTATCCAAATGGCAACACCATGAAGATAAAGGGTTTCAACAATGCTCCTCCCCACTCTCCTAATACTTGCCTAGATAATGCTCTATCATATGCAGCACGTATCGAGGAAGTAATAGAGATCAAATAAATGTTTTTGTTGCAGCAATCCTTGACATTGTCTTTACATGGAAAACCAGACTCATGATGGATATTTTGTCAAAAAGGAAACAAGTGCTGAAGCTGGTTGTTGCAGCTACGTGGACTATTGTTCTACCTGTCTGTTATGCTAAATCTAGGAGAAAGTATACCTGTTATTCCACACAGTATAGAAGCTGGCTAGGGGAGCTCTGTTTTTCTTCCTATATGGTTGCAGTTGGATTTTTCCTTATGACTAATGCAGTAGAGATGGTCTTATTTTTCGTTCCGGTCATTCACAAGTACATTGAGGTCTCAAATTATCAGATATTCAAAATATTTTCCTGGTGGACACAGGTATGATTAATAAGATACTTTTTTTGTTCCTTTGGAACAACTGTCATTGCACTTGTTTTTCTATCTTGAAATGACGTGCTTTCCCTAAAATTTTCAGTAATTAGACAATTGAATTGTAAGACTAACCATGATTCTGTAATTTAACCTGATTGGGAATTACAAGTTTAGAGTTGTTGGAGGCATAATTAAAACAAACAGTGAATTTTAAGAGTAATAGCAGACAGAAACTTGTCTCTACATGGTCAACCTAAAATGTGGTGCCCTATGATGTGTGAAGACTGTTACTTAGCATTATGCATATACGTAAGATTATCCAGTTCTTAAGTTGAAATTACCAAACATGAATTCATGATCAATGTGCCCATGTTGAAAATGTAGGAAAACAATTGAACTTCTGAAGAATTAGATTATATCCTTGAAGTACTGGTGTAAAGTAAAGCCCTGTCATGATTGTAAACAGTAGAAAGAGTTTCGCTATTTAAAGAAAACACTAGTGACTTAAACATGTTTTCTACCAGATCTTCAGCGTAGTTGTCCATCAATATTGCAAACTTTGTATATGCACATATTTGTTTTTTGAGGAACACTAAGTCAACGGACCCATTTTTCATATCCATGAAAACAGTGATGGATACTAATTATTTTTAATCTACTGGTCAAGCATTGTTTCTGTGGCTTTAAGAAAAATGCTCCATGGATTTAATGTTCCCTTGTTTGTGAGCTTTTTATTTTAATTCATTTGTAATTGACTGTGTTTCTTTACCATTAACTGAGAATTAATTTCATGAAAACAGTGATGAATACTAATTATTTTTAATCTACTGGTCAAGCATTGTTTCTGTGGCTTTCAGAAATAATCTCCATGGATTTAGTGTTCCCTTGCTTGCGAGCTTTTTATTTTAATGCATTTGTAATTGACTGTGTTTCTCTACCTTTAACTGAGAAATAATTTCAGACAAGTGCTGTTTCATAGCATGGTTATGTCAAGTGAAGCATATCAACCTACCGTTTTTCCTTTCTGTTTATTATTAAATTATTATATAGTTAATCCACAACAACTGCTTCCATAATGCAGCCAAGATCATATGTTGGACGTGGGATGCAAGAAACACAAGTTTCAGTTTTCAAGTATCTAATTTTCCCTGTTTTTAAGCTTTTTATTAGTATGTTGGGTTTTTTTTTTTTTTTTTTTTTTTTTTTTTTTTTTTTTGGGGTTCTTCCCTAAACCCAAACTTTTTCTTACTTTTCAGATATACAGTATTTTGGGTGCTGGTATTATTCACCAAATTCTTATTCAGCTACAGTTTTGAGGTGAGAAGTTTTAAAATTTTCTCCCTTTTCTGTGATCATCATTTGATATGTGATACAGAATCCAAACTTGTGGCTGTTTTGAACTCTACTTTTGCACAACAGACCAATTGTTCTAGACGTCATGGATATTGTAATGTTAAAAAGTTATATACGTCGCCTTGAATGAGTCAGAAACATGCTGAACATTAGAAAGGAAGTAGAACTTAGTTATGCCTCAATTGGCACGAGATGAAAAATTTTGACACATTCTAAATCACAATAAAGTCTAAACATTAAAATGCATGGTTATATAATTTACTCAGTACAGTCTCAATGTCTGCAAGACCAACATTTGTAGCAAGTAAAAATAATTTATTAGAATAATATTTGTACATGCACAAAAAATTTGCATCTTTATATGAAATATAGGAGACCTAAATAAAGATCTAAACAATCGAATGTAAATGTGTTACCGATTAAATTTCAAATCTTTTGTGATACAGAGTTTCTGATCTTGATTGCTTGGAATATCACTGCCTCTGGTGAAACAGAAGTTCTGTGATTTCTTTCTTTCTTTACATTCTTCTATGGCCATATAACCTGATTCAAAAATATTATACCAATGAGCCACATACTCTTCTCAGCATTGTTGAAGTTTGTAGTAGACAGTGCATCACATATGTGCTAGTACTTCTTTTCTTTTCTGGTTCTGGATTAAGAAACAGCACTTCTTTTTCATCCACCAACTATAGATATAAATAATTCTTTCAGATTCAGAAAAATTTCCACTTGGAAATTGGAATTAAAGAAGCTATGGAGAAGATTTTGAGAAACATGTATGTTTACTCAATATGATAATTGGTTGCTTATAAATGTGTAATCTACATGCTACTGCCCTTTGGGAAAGCTTATTTCGTCTAGAAGTGTCATATGATTTCACTATTTTCATGATGAGATGTGTGCCAGTAAAAGCCAATGAGCTGATTATTCCTATCAATGAAAAATGCAGATCAAACCGCTCATAGAACCAACGAGACTAATCTTGAAAATAGGTGTGCAAAATTATGATTGGCACGAGCTTTTCCCAAAAGGTAAATTGTAGTTCATTCTATATGTAGCTTCTAAGAATCCACCACTTCCTTTATGTATATAGTAAGTCGGTGTTCTTCTGTTGTAGTGAAAAGCAATGTTGGTGCACTTGTGGCTATATGGACTCCAATTATAGTTGTAAGTTTCTGATAACATTTTTGAATAATAGATCTTTGTCTTTCTTGAGTATTATGAGATGAATTAGTGTTTTTCATTTTAGCAGTGCTTTTTAGTTTAATGCAATTGTTACAAGTCTGTCCTCTCGAGCTAACCCATGAAAGTGGAAAATCAAGATATTAAAACAAATACATTATGGTCACCAAGGGGTGAATGATATTTAACTTCTTGGATCATTGTACTTTTTCCTAGCATACATATGATGCCTGGCATTTGTTTATTTTGCATTTTGCTCAGGTGTATTTCATGGACACACAGATCTGGTATTCTGTTTTCTGCACAATTTTTGGAGGAGTTTATGGCATTTTAAATCATCTTGGTGAGGTAAGCGTAGTGGAGTTTATGGCTATGATTTTTTCTTTTTAGGTTGGCTCTTATTTCTCCTACTGTTTGTAGATTCGAACATTGGGAATGCTGAGAAGCAGATTTCACACTTTACCTTCTGCATTCGATGTTTGCCTAATCCCACCTTCAGCAAAAAATGATCAGAAAACAAAAAGAAATCTCTTTCACAGGAGATTTCATAAGGTGTGTGATTTGTTAATGTTAGAATATCATTCTTAATCGAGGACCTCCTTTTTCTCAGTATGACAATTTAATGGATTTTATTCAGGTTTCTGAAAATGGAACAAATGGTGTTGCAAAGTTTGTGTTGATATGGAACCAAATAATCAATACTTTCCGGCTAGAGGACTTGATAAGCAACTGGTACATTTTACTTGTTGCTGGATTACTGTCCTTTTCCACTTTCTTCTCCAAGACCTATCTTTAACGTCATGTTTACATGAACAGGGAATTGGATTTGATGACAATACCTATGTCATCGGAGTTATTTTCAGGCATGGTTCGTTGGCCTATTTTCCTACTGGCAAACAAGGTTTGTTCCTTGTATTCCAACTTCCAAACATCATAATTTCGTATTGATAGCATCGTTCATCTTTAAATGAACCTCTTTATTCTTACTAGTTTTCAACAGCACTGAGCATTGCTAGAGATTTCGTGGGGAAGGATGAGATTCTTTTCAGAAAGATTAAAAAAGACAAGTACATGAATTGTGCTGTGAAGGAGTGTTATGAGTCACTCAAATATGTCCTTGAAATTCTCATTGTAGGCAATCTGGAGAAAAGGTAGAGTATATACACCTTTTGATTGAATGAATCTTCAATGTGAAAATTTTGGACATTAATTTTTGAGTTTGGGCAAGTTTTGTTTTGCTCAGTTCTTTGTGTTTCGTTTTTGTATTGATTTGCAAATTAAATGCCGAGTTACTTCTCTCTGCTTGCTTCTCTTATGTCATATTATTGCTGACTTTGTGGTGTTTCTGCATTGGTTTTCAGAGTTGTGTCCAGCTTGCTAAATGAAATTGAAGCAAGCATGCAAAGGTCAAGTCTCCTTGAGGACTTCAAGATGAGTGAGCTTCCAGCTCTAAAAGCAAAATGTATTGAGTTGGTTGAACTTCTGGTAACTATAATCATCGAAAGCTCAAGTGTTAAGATTGAGATTGAGTATGCAATTATTTATAATTGCTAGAACCTTTAGTAAAATATAGTATGTTGCAATTTCTGAAGGTTGAGGGAAATGCAAATCAGCATGATAATGTTGTGAAAGTTCTCCAAGATATGTTTGAGCTTGTAACCCATGATATGATGACAAATGGTTCCAGGTTTGTTTTCTCGGGGCTTCTCGTTTTAGGGGTTAATCCAAATTTTAAGATGAACTTGAATGCTCACTTCACTTCATTTCATTTTTATTATGAACAGAATATTGGATTTAATCCACTCTTCCCAACAGAATATTGAACAGACAGAAGAGAATTTTGTTGATTTTTCCAGAAGAATTGAACCACAATTATTTGAATCAGTTGCAGACAGGAATTCTATCCATTTTCCATTGCCAGATAGTGGCCCTCTCAACGAACAGGTGATACTTACTCCTTCCTTTTCTCCTTTCCTTTTTGATACAGAAAAGTGTCATTCTTTCCTTTTGAGTCTGTTGAAAACATATGTCCATTACTAAAATGTAAAAGTATTTATAACTACTTAATAAAATAGTTGAAGTGGCACAACTTTTATCGACCATTCTTGATGCGCATGGAAGGTCATAAAGACCGTTCTTTGTGGGACTAAGAGAGTTGCATTTTTTTTTACCTTTCCTTAATCCTTGGTTATTGGGCTAGTAAGCAACAAGTGTATTTATTATCTTTTATTTTTATGATTACTTAGGTAGCTGCCTTACTATGCACTTCATTTTGGCAATCAGTAATGCAATGTCAGGGCCTTTATATTTTAGCAAAAGGATGTGTGCTCGTATGCCAGCATACATGTACAAAATCTATGGATATTGTCAAATATTTATGAATGAGCAATTTAACATGTAACAAATTCTGTTTAGCTGAAATATATATTAACCAGTTGTTTCAAACTTCGAATGGCAGATCAGGCGTTTCCTTTGGTTGCTTACTGTCAATGACAAGGCAATGGACATACCTGCTAACTTAGAGGCTCGGAGACGTATTTCATTCTTTGCTACTTCACTTTTCACTGATATGCCCATTGCTCCTAAAGTGCGGAATATGCTGTCTTTCAGGTTAAACTCTTAATTCTTAATCTGTTCAGAACTTCAGATTGCTTATCGTTCAAGGCAATTTTCCTTCATATTCTCTATTAGCCAAAATTCTCTCTGTTTGAATTTTGATTTTCATCAACTATCTTCGGATCAGGTATTCAAATTTCTATGTCACCTGATGAGATATATTGAGTATTTAGAAGGACTGAAACTTAGGGTGCAGCACTTTTAATGCTATAGAAATCAACTTGACTCCATTGAACTGATCCTCAATGAGATATCAGTTGAGGTGGACTACATGGTTATTCTTCCTGCACTTTTCTACTTAGTCTTATCCAAAATCTTCCCTCTTTAAAAAAGCCAAACTCTCGTTTATTACTTCAAACCAATTCGTTTTCAATCTTACATAGATTTATCTTTTTTGGCTCTTTCTGCCCATTGATTAGATTTGACTATTGTTTTATGCCACTCGCTACCCATTGCAATCCCTCCTCATTTATCCAGCATTAAGACCAGTCATCCTCCTTTTCCCATCATGAAGACCATGGCTGTCAGGATAGGACATTGAAATGAAATGAAGTTTGAGTTTGTCATGTAATAATGCTATGCATACTAATTGATGACTCAATGAATAACAATCACTACTATAAACATAATATGATGTCTTTTTATTTACAATGCTTGAAATTGTTATCTATTTTATTGTGATTCGATTCTTTGAACTCCAAGAATATCATAACAAACAATCCAATGTTTGTCATATCATGTTGGATGAAATACAAAACAGAAGTACACATCTTTATGACTTCTAAATCTTTAACAACTGTTTCATTCCTTTTCTTTCACCTTCTGCTACATTTTAAGCATGATATTGCAATCCTTCTGGTCATTAAAACTTTGAGGCTGGATTCTTTAAACACAACATCATAGTTTTGTTATCAGATTCCATGCAATAATTTGCCTTTTTTTTTCTCTGCTTCTATTGGATTAGTTGACCCATTTCAGCTAGTCTATTTAGTTTCTACTAAGGACGCGTTTGGGGTAATGTTAAGAGATTAGGAATCCTGTACTATAAATGAATATGAAACATACAGGTCATTTTTCCCATCGGCTTGAGTTTTTGGAAGAGTGCTTTTATATCCATGCTTTTACATTGTGCTGGAAATATATTAAGCATTATACTTCACTCTCTGCATGCTGCCTTTTGATATTTCTTCTTCATCCTTAGCATCTTTCTTGGTTCCTTTGTTTCATCTATTTTCTACCTATCGAGGATAGTATCAGACTTATTTCTGATTATTTAAAGTTTTGGGCTGGATGCTCCATCGTATTGGAATTTCATTGTTGGACTTCTTGTTAGATGATGTTGACTAATCCTGTAATCCCATGTCGGTTGAATACAGCTCGGAATGGTGTTATATAACATATTGTATGGTGCGCTCAATAGCTAAAAGAGTCAACTTTCTTAACCTTGTCTAGTTGGTTTTTTTTTTTAATTTAATTTAATTTTTTAATATTTTTTTGTGGAATGATAGAAAAGATAAAGAGAATCATTTCTAAGCTGTATATTGTCAGCATAAAAAAAAAGTGCAGTAGTTGTTATCCTTCTAATTACAGAAAAATCTTTATGGTGTTCTTTGTAGCATTCATCAACATATGCATGGATAGAATAGGAAGTCCAACAAATTACTTGAACCTTTATATAGATGATTCTAGCTATCCCATAAAAGATGCTAGAAGAAAAAAATTATGCTTAAAGAAGCATGGTGTGGAAACGTGATTTTAATAGAGAAATGATTGGAAGCCCATGTATACTTTCTCACATTAATATTCTGCTTTACAGTGTATTAACTCCACACTTCAAGGAAGATATTATTTATTCAACAGATGAAGTTCATTCAAGCAAGGAAGGGGTTTCCATCTTATTTTACATGCAGAGGATTTATCCAGGTGAGAAAGGACCCTTTTTTTTTTTTTTTTAACTTGTTTGTTCCTACTTGTCCAAACACATTTCTTATTTTGTATCTATCCTGTTGTTTATCTTAGATGAGTGGAAAAACTTTTTGGAACGCATGGGATGTGAAAGTTTGGATGGATTAAAAGATGAAACCATGAGGGATGAGCTCAGAAATTGGGCTTCTTTCCGGGGTCAAACATTGAGCAGAACGGGTGAATAAAAATAGTAATATTAATATATGTGGCCATTGATTTCAGTGTGGCAGATATAATTACCCTGGATATAACCTCTAACTTTGTTTTCTTTGCTTAAACAGTTAGAGGAATGATGTACTATAGAGAAGCTTTAAGAGTTCAAGCATTTCTTGATATGGCCGACAACGAAGGTTCGTGAGGATGTTGATTCTAGCTGATAGTATCAGATAGCCTATCTCCTCATTTCTATGAGAAGTAAATCATTAATGCATTACTTCAGATTTCTATGTATGAGAACTGTATTAATTAGCATGGTATTCACCATTTGGCTGGTTGTGCTCATCCAGATATTCTTGAAGGTTATGATGGTGCTGAAAGAAATAATCGTACATTATTTGCTCAGTTAGATGCGTTAGCAGACTTGAAATTCACATATGTCATTTCTTTTCAAATGTTTGGATCACAAAAGTCCTCTGGAGATCCCCATGCTCAAGACATAATTGACTTGATGAACAGGTAACATTTCACTAGAAACAAAATAAATATTCCCATACTGAAAGCATCAATTCATCTTATTTTGACCACATCATTATCACTTGAAGGTACCCCTCTGTCCGTGTTGCTTACGTTGAAGAGAAAGAAGAGATTGTGAATGATAAAATTCAAAAGGTTTATTCTTCTATATTGGTTAAAGCAGTCAATGGTCTTGATCAGGTAGTGACTTATTCAGATTGTATTACAGCATGCTGTGAGGATTAATATAGAAATGTTGGGTTTGAGAAATAGGCAAAGTTGAGGATTATGAATTCTTCCTTATTGAATCCCTGATTCTTTCCAAAACTAATTGTGTTTTTTTTTTTTTTCCTCACTGGTGGCCTGATTGCAAATTTACTATGTACTTAGCATCTTAAAAGAAATGAACAATTGAAGCCTGATTTAAAAGATCACATTTCACTAAACTTTCTAGATGTTTAAAGACTTTGACAGTTTTTGAAGAGCAAATTTTGGTTAACTGTAAGAAATAGACATTGAAGTTTGAGTGCATATTTTGCTCACCCTTGGAGGTTCACTGAGCCTGAACCTACTTATTGATTTGCTATGTTTCTTCTTATTAATTTAGTTATCTTGCAGAGTAATGAATGTTTGGTTTTATGTAGGTTGCTATCATAATATGAACTTGAAAGATTTAAGTGCTATTATGATATGACCATAATAAATCTTCATGCTTTTGAGTAAAGAAGCAAAAAAATAGTCTAGAATGAGTATTTTTATTCGCATGCTTAGATGACGTGCAATTGGCTTTTTTTCTTATGGTAGAAATTTACAGAACTCTATTTTTGATCTTAGAAACCACTTATATGGCTCATGGGATATATCTTAGTGATTATCTTCTAATTAGCTAGGTCCGTCCTTCAAGTTCTAGGCTTAGCAGTTATATAAATGGATTTGAAACTTTAGCTGTCTTATACCAGATTGAAGCTTTCTAATTAAACTAATCATGTAAGGCACAAAAGTGACTGCAACTCAGAAGCCCAATTCTTTAAGCAAGTTTCTATTAAATTGAAATCAATCAACCTATAAACAAGCAGTGCCTAACAGAAATAGTTGTCAAAAGGAATCATAAGAAAACGAGATTGTACAATGTATGATTGATATATGTAATATGCAAATTTGATAATGTGTTATTATCCATCATTCACCAACCATGCACAGAATTGCACAGACAACCTCTCCACACAGGCTCCACACACCCCCCCCCCCCCCCCCCCCTAAAAAAAAAAAAAAAAGAAAAAGAAAAAGAAAAAAGAATGGTTTAATTAACAGAACAAGAGAGAGAGAGAGAGATGCATAACGCTAAATCAGCATATTTGTGTGCGTGTGTGTTTTAAGATTTTTGTGCACAGTAGCATGTTTTGGCTGAATATGTTGTATGTTTTTTATAGGAAATTTATCGCATAAAACTTCCTGGATCACCAAATATTGGAGAAGGGAAACCAGAAAATCAAAATCATGCCATAATCTTTACACGTGGTGAAGCTCTTCAAACAATCGATATGAACCAAGTACGGTTGTCCACTGGTACCTATAAAAGACATATATCTTGCATTTTATACTTAAGTTCTTTGCTTTTACAGGATAATTATTTGGAAGAAGCTTTAAAAATGAGAAACCTTCTACAAGAATTTCTTCGGCAGCGAGGACGACGACCTCCAACTATACTTGGCTTAAGGGAACACATATTCACTGGAAGGTTATTCCGCCTTTGCCTTAAATTACACAAATAGACCTTGTGCCCATGCAAGACCAAAGTCATAAATTGATGAAACTTTAAACTTCTAAAAGCCAGTGAGGTTCAGTTCACAACTAGACTCGTTGACTATCCGAACCACAGCTAGAGACTATTAGAAAAACCATTTTTAAAAGTTCTAGCTATATTTTTTAATTTCTTCACGTCACTGGTAGATTATTGTGCAACCTTTCTTGATGCCACAGACCTAGGATCAGTCTTGCCTTCACCATGTTTGGGAGATATAGCTTGATGCACTACTTGGTCTAAAAGTAATTCAATGAAGAGCCCAAGCATTATAGGATAACCTTCAAATTGTAGTTTTCAATACTAGACTAAGGATATTGGATGTTGATATTGGTAGTTCTGTTGAACAACTTGCGCTACATTAGACAAACTTTGTCTACTTGTGGAGCTGGGAATTTACAACTTGGACCTGTTAACCTGCCTGAAAGTTGAAAAGAATCTTTTTTTTTTTTTTTAATGAGGTCGTCGTATGCAGTTATTTTTCTCCAAAATCTGAACTTTTAAGCTGAAAATCTTTCTTTGTACCATAAATTTCGTGCACATTTAAATTCTCTAATATGTCATATGTACCTTGCTTTAGTTTGTCCTATAAATTCAGTATCATAAAATAAGGACAAAGGAAATCCTCACATCTTCAAACTATGAGTGTTACCAAAAATTACTTTATTTGGACATCAGATGTTTAAACAAATCATGTCATGTTGGCATTTTAGATCTTGAGTTGAGAATCTTACATTATCTTCCTAACTGCAGTGTCTCATCTCTAGCATGGTTCATGTCATATCAAGAGGCAAGCTTTGTCACCATTGGTCAAAGGCTTCTTGCAAATCCTCTCAGGTACCAGTTTTCCTATTTCTATAATCTTGTTTCTGGTATACTTTGTTATGCTTCTCAGTTTAGCATACTCATCTGAGACCAGATCCAGCAAATTGGGGAAAACTGTTGAAAGAAAATCGTTAACAGTGTTGCATTGCAGTGTCGACTGTCAACTTATCCATTTTCCATATGTTTGCAATTCCATGCAGTTATCCTCTGCAAGTTCTTGCCTACGGCTTTTAATGAAATGCTAAAAATTGATTTTTGCCCATTTGTTCAGTTTTTACTAATTTATTCTTTGTAATGTTCATCTTATGCATAGGGTAAGGTTCCACTATGGGCACCCAGATGTATTTGACAGGTTGTTTCACATCACAAGGGGTGGCATAAGCAAAGCATCAAAAACAATAAACTTAAGTGAGGATGTATATGCAGGTGAGGATCAGTAATTTCACAAGTTGCACTGTGTAAATGGAGATTATTCACAGCCGTTTACATATTATCTGGTGCAGGATTTAATTCTACATCAAGACGAGGATGTATAACTTACCATGAGTACTTGCAAGTTGGAAAAGGTCGTGATGTAGGTCTAAATCAAATCTCGAAGTTTGAAGCCAAAGTAGCAAATGGAAACAGTGAACAAACAATAAGCCGTGACATATACCGACTTGGACGCTGTTTTGATTTTTTCCGGATGCTATCTTGCTACTTTACAACAACTGGGTTTTACTTCAGTAACCTGGTATTTCTTTTGCACCCTGAAATATTCCTACAATCAAAGAAAGAAATAATTTTAATGAGATTGACGTAAAGTCACTATAAATATTCTTATGGAGAACTTTACCCCCACATAGTGCTTCATATTCCCTAGCCAAGTATTAAGCAAGATTTTGTGTTAAAAACGTACAAGCAAACAAGCCAGTATAAGCATGAGGGTCCATAGTAAGAAAATTTCTGTAGATAATGCTCATCTGCTGTAGTTTGTTCCAAAATTTCTGGATTTATACTACTGAAGTTTACTTTTCTTATTTAGACTCATGCATATATAAGTTGCTAGTTTATGAAGGAAAATGATTCCTTGGTACTTTCGATTTACTAATTTACTACCAGTTTAAATGGTCTTTATGTCTGTATGCTACATTGCTAATTCATGAACCAGATCATAGTTATTCTGAAGTTAAATTTAACAAGTTCTATTGAAAGTCTGAAACATCATTATATATGTTTCCCTCTCCTTCATTAGTGTGCTCCTTTTTTTGATAATTATATATTGACTTAAAGTCATTACGTAAACTTCACAGATTTCAGTAATTGGAATTTATGTGTTCCTCTACGGGCAGCTATACCTTGTCCTAAGCGGTCTGCAAAAGGCACTCCTACTTGAGGCTAGAGTTCATAACATACAGTCATTGGAAACAGCTCTTGCCTCCCAATCATTTATCCAGCTTGGGCTTCTAACCGGGTTACCAATGGTGATGGAGATTGGACTTGAAAAAGGATTTCTCACAGCCTTCAAAGATTTTGTCCTCATGCAATTGCAACTAGCTGCTGTTTTTTTCACCTTCTCACTTGGAACAAAAATTCATTATTATGGTCGAACGATGTTGCATGGGGGTGCTAGGTACCGACCAACCGGGCGTAAGGTGGTGGTATTTCATGCCAGCTTCACTGAAATTTATAGATTATATTCACGAAGCCACTTCGTTAAAGGATTTGAGCTACTGCTCCTTTTGATTGTCTACGATTTGTTTAGACGGTCCTACCAGAGCAGCATGGCATACGTCTTCATCACTTACTCCATTTGGTTCATGTCAATAACTTGGCTGTTTGCACCATTTCTGTTTAATCCTGCTGGATTTGATTGGGAAAAAATAGTAGATGACTGGAGAAATTTGAATAAGTGGATCAGGCAGCCAGGTGGTATAGGAATTCAACAAGATAAAAGTTGGCAGTCTTGGTGGAATGATGAGCAGGCCCATCTTTGCGGTTCACGGTTGGGTGCTAGGCTGTTTGAAATACTTCTTTCTATTCGGTTTTTTATGTACCAGTACGGTCTGGTGTATCACCTCGACATCTCCCAAAAGAGCAAAAATGTCCTGGTGTACATTCTTTCATGGGTTGTGCTTTTGGCAGTGTTTCTCTTAGTCAAGGTAAATAATTCCCTAATTGTCCTCTCTTTATCTATTTACTAACATATCTAGTTCCCTGGTTTAGAAACATGCATTTCAACCATACTGCATGATTAATATGCAGTTATGTGCTTGAAATTCTAGTTTAACATCCATCTAAAGTTATATTGGTCTTCAATTTTTCCATTAGTTTATATCAGTTAAAGAACCACCTATTATACTTTCACCATCCCACATAATTCAGTTGACGGACAATGAATTAGGAATATTCTGTCTAGCTATGTTCTGCAGATGGGTTTGACTTTTTCTGCATGTCACCATTGACAAAAATAATTTGTACGCATCATGAAAATTTCAGACAAAAAGGAATATGAAGTGGCATGTCTATATATATATGTAACTGAAGAAAGAAAGTTGGGGATGTATAATGTTGGGGTTTTATTACATTGTCTTCGTAAGAATGTCCTTGATATACAATTGTATCATGAATTGCTTTCCAGTTGGTGCTAAATTGAACAAGGTAAAAATTAGTACCTCTATAGGTCTTACGCTGATTCTAGTACTAGAATAATGTCATTGCTTAAATAAATATGAAATGAGATTGATTATTCACAACCACCCGATAGACTACTTTTACTTTCAGTATAAATTAGCATACATGTCGTATAGCTTGGGCAATGCTTTTATGACTATTAAATGCCACCTAGTTTAAGTTCCACCCTCTGACATGCATCTGGTAGCTTTCGAGCCTTAAACTTTGAGCAAAGTAATGTTCTATGGTGCACCAAGAAGTTATAAGTTCTCTGGGATGCTGACCTGAGGTCGATGCATTGATCATTCGTGCACTGGATTTAGTAGGAAATTCAATTCAGTCTTCCCTTGAGAACTGAAGCTGTTGGTTGAAAATGGTTCTCGGTTTGAATATCTAAGGCTTTCTTTATGTAGTCCTCAAGTTCTTGATTTGCACTTGCGTTAACATTATCTCATGCTATGCAGGCTGTGAACATGGGAAGGCTGTTGTTCAGTACAAATTACCATCTAGCGTTTAGGATTTTCAAAGCATCGCTCTTCATTGCTGTTCTGATTATTATAGCTGTTCTTTCTAAGGTTTGCCACCTATCTATAAAGGACTTGATTGTCTGCTGTCTAGCATTTTTACCCACTGGATGGGGCTTGATATTGGTAAGCATTGTTCTCTTAAATTTTTCCAGCAAACACATTTTTCCTAGTTATCTTTACTTATATTTTGGTCTGTCAGATCGCACAAGCTGCAAGGCCCAAGATAGAGGAGACTGGACTGTGGCCTTTCACTCAGGTTCTTGCCAAGGCATATGATTATGGAATGAGTGTGGTTCTTTTTGCACCCATAGCGGTTTTAGCTTGGCTCCCAATCATATCAGCCTTCCAGACTCGTTTTCTTTTCAACGAGGCCTTCAACAGGCATTTGCAGATCCAGCCAATTCTAGCAGGAGGAAAGAAGAAGAAGCAGACATAATTTTTTTGATACCTGTTCATACCATACTATATTTGTACAGGCCGGCACCTCGGACGGCTCTTTGCAGTGCCATTAAGAAACACATTTGAATTCATACTGTATATAATATAATTATTCATAAAATCATATAGTAGTAGAGAATTAATTATTTTGTCCAGACATTTGCCCTATTCATTATTTTCCAGAATAATTCCCTCTGTATAACCTATATATGTTGATAATAGTGTTGAATATTATGATTGACGTGACATGGATCCCGATTTTGAAGATTTTGTTATTTTCATGCTATTTGACGACATTGTTATGCCAACGAGAATTGCTAGTCCCATTGAAGAAAAACTTTGGTACTCTGGCAATATGGGTAATGGTTGCAGAGATTTCTTTATTTTTATTTTTCTATTTTTTTTTTCATCTTAAGTTCATCCTCATCGTCATCGTCATCTTCTTCTTCTTCTTCTTTTTTAAATTCCATCCTTTATTAATTTTTGAACTAATGATATTATTTTATTTTATTTTTGTCTTAATCGCATCCCTCAAATTTAAATAAATAAATTTTGAAAATTAAAAAATAAAACTCGAAAAGATGTGAAGATATATCTATTCATCTCTTTAAAATTTAAAAATAAAAAAATAAAAGAACAATGTGAAGCTAAAAATATTTTTTCCTTCAAAATATTATTTATGAATTTAAATTTATCTATATAATAGTAAGCAAATTTTAAGTACAAAATGAAATATTTATAGTATTTTTTTTTTTTAACATGAAGAGAGTTCAGTTAAATTTTTAAAGTTTTAATGATATTTATAATTTTTTATAGGTTTATTGTTTCAAAAATTACGAACTTCATATTTTTTTAAAATAATTTTAACTTGTTTTTGTTAATTTTGGATAGAAAGATCACTAACTAAGCTTCGACAACAATACTAATACGAGATCAATTTTTTTGACCTAAATTCCGATCAAAGCTAACGTGACATGTGACAAAGCATAACAACTAGAGTAAATATAACACGTACGATCCATGTAAGTAGTGACGTGAAAAATTAATTACAAAACTTTAAAGATATCATTCTCTATATATCCCCATTATAACAAAATCCCAAGTCCAAATTAACCTTAACTCGCATAACCCTTTGTTTTTTATTTTAATTTTACACAACACACCCATCTTCTTTCTTCTTCGCCTTCATTTGCCTTCATCTTCTCGAATCGAACTCATAGATTCTCCCTTCTTCTACCTTCTTCTTCTCCTTCCTTCATAGAATTGAACCCATAAATTCAAAAAATCCTAATTCCCTAACCCTAGCCCCTATGTCATTTGCTTTACATTTCAATTTTGCTCAAGCACATCATTTTCCTTCTTCTTCTCCTTCGTCTTCCCATAATTGAGCGAATCCATAGACCACCTTTTTCTTTATCTCAAACGAACCCAAAAGATCTCCCTTCTTCTTCCTTTATCTTCTCCTTCCTTCTTATCTCCCAAACCCATAGACCCTCCAACCTCATTCTCTCCTTCGTTACGAAGCAATTACTCTAGTTCTATAATTGAAAGCCCAAATTTCTATAATTGAAAACCCAAATTTTTCTTTGTCCCTAATCCCCTAAATTCAAAATCCTAAATCCCGAAAGACGAACCTTCAAGCAAATCTCCCAAAAATCCTAATCCCCAAATTCAAATCCTAAATCACTTTTTTTTCTAACATCCCCCCATGATTATTCCAAAAAATTCAAATCTAAAATCCAGATAGACTAATTGTTTATATGGAAATTGAAATATCTACAAGTAGTAGCTTCAACATGGATGAAGCTTTAGAAATATCTTTCCTAAGTTTCAAGATGCCTTTATGCAAGCATAAGATAAAGATAACCACATATATTTCATGAAAAAAATCAAACTTGGGGAAGAAGTTCCTTTGCTTGCCCATATTGGAAGGTATTATTCTTTGAAAATGAAATTTGTGTCACTGCCATATTGGAAGGTATTGTTCTTTGAAAATTAAATTTGTGTCGCTATTTATATTGGAAGTTATTGTTCTTTGAATATGAAATTTATTTCCTCGCCCGTATTAGGAGGTATTATTCTTTAAAATCTTATTTGATATTTCGAGTTGATAATTCGGGTATTGAAAGTGGATTGAAGAAAGGAGCAACATCCGTGGAGTTGTGAAGCTAGTGGTAATTGACATTGAAGAGTTGAAGAAAACAATGAAGTTAGTGCAAATACTTGAACAAGAGAATTCGAGTTTAATTAGAATTGAAGCAAAAAAAATAAATAAATAAATAAATTTGATTGAAGAAATGGATAAGATGAGATCCGAAGTCATTAAAATCAAAATTGAAATGCAAAAAATGAGGCTTGGCATGAAGGAGTTAGGAGGGAAAGTGAAAGGTATTGTAAAGTGGAATTTATTGACAACGAGCTATAAGTTTTACATTACTAGTATATATGTTGCCTTCAAATGATCATAATGGAATGTTAGCTTTAAACTAAGCAAGAAGTAAGGCCATTAAGATGAAGAAAGGTTAAGAGAATCCCAGAAGATTGATTATTTATAACATTCTTTGTGTTGTTATTGCTTACCTTATTTTCAATTTGTTGTGATGTATACATAACTTGTAACCCTACTAATATTATGACTTGGATATTCCTAGATCCCCATATAATATTGTCCATACCAAATGTTAGTGCCATGGGATGGCATATAAAGGTTAACTTGTTGGAGAAAAATAAAGCCAAAAAAGAGGGACAATCACTAAGAGTGTTTCTTATATTCTCATATTGTTTTTGATTTTGGAAAATGAGTCGTAAAGTACATGTGAGAAAGGAATCATCATGCTTGATATTTTTTATCATGCTTGATAATTTTGTAAAGGAAAAATGGGAGATGAGGATTGAAACATTAGGGGTTTTTCAAATAAATATGGTTTGTTGAGATGGAATATCTTGAACAAGCACATAGCTTTTGGTGCTTTTCATAGTAATTGTGAAAAAAACACTCTCTTTTCGTGCAATCACAAATGGAGTGTAACTTAACCATTAAGTAGTGGTTGTGCACTAAATCCGTTTAAACCATGATAAGCTTTTAAATTCTCAATCAAGAATCCAAATTGCCTAGGATTATGAGAAAAAAAAATGATATACACCAAATATATGTAACATCAACATTGTAAATGGAAGATTAAAAGACATTTTGCTATCTATCAACCACAAATAAAAAACATAATCTAATACAAAAAAAAGCCAAAACTGCCTATTTACCTAATTTTATAAGGAAACAAAGAGTCTTAAATATCATTCCTCAAATATTCACTCGAAAGAAAAAAAAAGGCCATACATTTATAGTCCTTGCCAATCTTTTAAAATAAAACCATATACATATGGTCCCAACAAGAAAGGCAAGCCAAGTCAACATCCATATCGATCCGTATAAAAACTTTAATATTCCCATGCCAATAGAGAAAACACATGCTAGCCAACAAATATAGATTTTATCACGATATTTCAAAAAATATGAAACACATTCACTGTCTATCTTAATGCTTTAGTGGTCCAAAAAGTCATTTTTGAGCGAGATCAAAATATTCACAAGCTATCATAGTGGTTTAGGACCTTTAATGGTTAAACTTGGTCTTCTTTGTATTTTGAACAGCTTTTATTGTAGTTTGCCTAGCATTTGATGTTTGATTAATTATTTTCCTTGTAATTGGTCTAGCTTTGATGCCATTGATTATCCTTTTATAATAGTATCAATTATGTCTCCAACAGATCATCTATAACGTAAACATTGAAATTAGGTAAATTTATACTATGTAATTTAATCAACAAATCTATTGAAATATAATAAAAACACATTGAACTTGTATTTGAGTACATGTTGCTAGTTTTTTCACTTATGTACACTAAAAAAACCTTTGACTCGTTTTCTCTCTCTATTTTTATTAACTTTATAGCTAGGTTAGATCTTGAAGAGGTTGAGGCGGATCTAGATGTGGAGGGGGTTTGGAGGTAGATGTAGCTCGAATGTAGGGTGTGGTTTTAAAGTTGATGCACCTATGAAATTGGATGTTTGTTTGGAAGTGGAGGAAACTATAACACATTGCTTTGGAGGTCTTTCTCTTTCTCTTTTAGCTACATGTAAAGGTAATGTAAAATAAATTCAGATTGAGATTAATTAAAACCAAATCAGCCAAACTTAAAGTATAAGAAAAACATAATTAAACATGGACTTACAAGGGTGGGGTTTGAGTTCTCTTGTTCCTTATTCTTGTATGTTCTCCTATTATAGCATATTTGAACTTGCATTGGGACTTCAATCCTTATGTTTACATGTTGAATCATGTACACTAACTCTTTTCTCCTTTTTCTCTCTTCTAAGCAAATATATCATCTTTATTGCTTCTAGGAGGGGTTATCTCGCTCATCCCCGATTCATCGCTATAATATGCACTAATGTACCCTCTTTCATTAGGTTGAAGTATATTGTGTTTAGATAGATTAAAATTTCTCCTAATTGATGGGGTTGGTACTGCTCAGTCATCACCGAACTAAAGTCCAGAGCCACACTTTCTCTTCATACTCTTCCTTTGCTTTCTAGCCTTAACTAGTTCTTCATCTATAGAACTTTTAAAATCAACATCGCTTAAACTACTATCACTTTGTGGTTCCTTAATTAGTAAGTATTCTTCATCATCATTACTTGCATCAACATTAATATTATCACTTAAGGCTCTAACACCTAAACCATACCCACCCGCATTATCACCAAAAGTACCATCACCCAAACCATCACCACCTACATTATTACCCAATGTGTCATCATCCTTTTTAGAAACCCCATCATCAACCATGTCTTTCCCATCACCTTTTTCTTGATTTAAGACTCCATTTTCTTCATAAACACCCGATTTGAATGGACCATATTATCATTATTACATCCTTCGACATTCTCATCCGCCTCCATATAAGCATCTATAGACCTTTCTTCACATGCGACACCGT